CCCGGCTTTCCTATCGGCGCAGGCCGTCGCTGGCCGCGGCGCCGGAGCCGGAGCCGCCGCCGGCCGTGGGGAAACCGCCCCTCGCTTCCAAGCCCGCCCCGCTGCGCGGGCCGCTGGCTCCGGCTCCCACGCCGCCGTGGTTGCCGCCGCCGCTGCCGCAGCTGCTGCCGCAGCTGGCGCTGGCGGCGCCGGTCGCAAGCGACCGAGGGACGGCAAGTCGCTGCCGTTCGGGGCGGGTCTCATGGCGCGGGGGGGAGGAGGGGCGCCTAGGGTGTTGCCGGCGACGCTAGGGGCGATGATGGACCTGGCGTCCAAGGACCCGGCCGAGTTCACCAGGGTGAGCCGGGAGGAGGGGGGGGGTGCTGTCGAAGAGGAAGGGGGGGATACATGGGTCTCGCGCTCTGCTGGTCACTCGGCATGTGATGGACTTTGGTTTCATCATCGAATTGTACACGACGTAAACTCGCATGCTTTGTGGGCCGGAACGTGTCCGTACGCCCAGGAGAGCGTGGTTTGTGTTGGGACTAGAGTAAGTAGTCTGCCTGCCTCGCACTCGAATCGACGGAAACAAAACCCGACTGGCAGCTGGAGAGGCCGCACGGAGCACGGAAATATTCGATTATGATCTACATAGTTGTTGTGTGCGGAGATGGTCTGGCGAATCCCTGTGATTGTTTTACATATATTGGATATCTGGCCGGGCCCCCCTCTGTTCCAGGAGATGAATGACAACAAGAGAGGCGGGAGAGGGAAAGGAGACAGACGGGGTGTTTGATCACTGTGACCACTTCGATGTAAAGCACTGTTAGCACCGAGTAACTTGGAGCGTCCACAATTACGTGATCTATCATCAAAGGCGACACTAGAAATATAAATCAAGCAGTGAATGCACCCAACCAAGGAGAAAGCGCCCCCCCACACCTGCCGCGTCCCTCTTCCCCAGATTATCGAAGAAAACCCCCGGCTCCTGGAACAGCTGGAGAGGAAAGCAGCGTCCACCACCACTGGCGGCAGCAGCGGTGCAAGGCTACCGCCGTCGTCCAGACAAGGGGGCGCCGGCGGCGCGTCGGGGGACCCCCGGCGTGCCCTAGACCCCCGGCGTGCCGACCCCCGGCGTGATCCTCGGCGCCAACGGAAGTGATGACGGCGGGGGGGGGGGGTGTACTCATAGTCGTGCATGCCGTAGTCGTTAGACCATTGACCTCGACGGCGGGGTGGGGGGGGGGGGTACTCATTTGTTGCTTGCCTTAGTCATTTGACCATTGACCACGCGTCCCTTTCGAGACGGACGGCGGGGGGGGGTGTGTACTCGTAGTCGTGCATGCCGTAGTCGTTAGACCATTGACCTCGCATTCCCACAAAGCCGGGACGGAGCACGCCGGGTTCTCACCGGACCAGGCTCTCACATCACCAAGCGCGAAGCGCCGTGAGGTATTTGGCGAGTCGCATTTCTCTCTTTTTTTCTCTCTTTTTCTGTGCCAGATGGCCTTGTCTCTGCTTGCGTTGTGAAGTACCAAGATTGAACCAAGGGGGTGTACCTCTTTCTCTCCGGCCCATGATAGATAGTGACTGCTAGTCTCAGTTGATACCTCGCATAGCGCGAAGAGGGAGTGGAGGATTCCAGAATATCTGTCGTTGATTTCTATTGACTTGCGGACCCCTCGGGGCCAGTTTATTGGAGTGTACCTTTTTAGGGTAAGTTAACCTGTGACCACGGGAATCGACCGCGTCGAGTGTTGGATCAGTACGGACATACGAAGATACTGGGTAGAGAGAGATCGGAACGGTTTTTAATGTGAAGACAACAATGAAGGGTGAGCTGCATCCTGCTAAGGGTGTTCGGCATCTTGTGCTTACTTCCTTGCGTACGGATGACAGCTACGTATGACTTAATTTATTTTCTGGTGCTTTCACTCTTGCAGAGACAGTTGTAAGCACTGTGTAACTGCCTCGAGGATGCTTGACCATTTTAACACAACGTGGTGCGATCATCCCCCTTGCGCGGAGTGAGGGTTCTCCACCCCGCACAACATGATCTACTCGACCACCATTATGGTTACCGCCAAAAAATAAAACAGAGGTAAAAAAAAAAAAAACGGTAACCTGGTTGCCGAGTTCACGAAGTGAATTGGCTTGTTTTACGACGTCGTTGCCATGCGACGAAAACCCAATTCCGATGGCAAACACCGAGGGGAGGGGGGGGGTTAGAAGTATAGGTTGTCGTGTCTCTTCTCCGTGTAGCAGGTTGTGGACTTCTCGCGCACACGAGCAGTATTGTACGATAGCACCACGAAAGAAAGCAGAAGGTGCTCGTCCTCTCTTTTCACGCATCATGCTGTGATGTGTCTGCCGGTAAAATAGCATTGTCGTCGGCCTGCTTCAGGAGGAAGCACTGCACTTGGGGCGCGGATCTCGAGATTGCTCCCATCGGATGATGATGCGCCCGTTCATGCGTGCCTAGCCTAGCTTCAGTTGGTTTCATTGTTGTGTGCGTGTGATGATGGCGCTGGACTACGTACGCACAGGTTTACCGGGGGTGGTAGACGTAGAGTACTGTAAGCAGAGAGGGATTTTTGGGCAGCTTGCTGTTGTTAGTTTGGTCTCGGGTCGCCGGGGGGGGGGGGGGGGGGGGGGGATTTGTTTCGGGGGGGGAGCCCCCCCCTCAAAAAAATTGCCTGGGGAAAAATTGGTGGGGGGGGCCCCCTTTTTTTTTAAAAAAAATTTTTCGGGGGAAAAAAATTGGGGCTCCGTCCAAGGAAAAATGTTAAAAACCGGAATTTTTTTTTTTTTTCAAAAATCCGGGGCAAAAAAAAATGGCCCCCCCCAATCTTTTCCCGGGGACCCCAGTTTCGGGGGGGGGGGGTTCCCTTGCCCGTTCCCGGGGACATTTTTTTAAAGTTCCCTTTTAACCGCCAAAAGGGGGAGAAAAAAGGGGTT